GCCTTGGCAGGCTGGCTGGGGAAGCAAAAAGGGGGGGAGGCATTTTTAAAAGTCTCCCCTCCCCTTCCCCAGCTGGCCTGCCAAGGCGGGGTGGGGGTGGGGGGAGCAAAGAGAGAAGGGGTTTAAAGTTTAAACCCCTTCTCTCTTCGATCTCCCCCCAGCCCGCCTGGGGAAGGGGAGGCTTTTGAAGATGCCTCCCCCCCCTTTTGCTTCCCCTTCTGACATAGCTTCCGGTGATGTCAGGGGGCGTGGCATGTGCTAATGGGCTATTATGCTAATGGGCTATTAGGTATGCTAATGAGCTCCTGCAGCTCTTTTTCTACGAAATGACCCCTGATACTAGAACTTGAGGAGCTGCCGTGGCTCAAGTGGTTAAGACGCTGAACTGCAGGCTGTGGAAGGTCAGTAGTTCAGCAGTTCGAGACCCAGGTGCCGCATGACGGAGTGAGCTCCCGTCTCTAGTTCCAGCTCCTGCCAACCTAGCAGTTCGAAAGCAAGACATTGCAAGTAGATAAATAGGTACCACTTCGGTGGGAAGGGAACAGCGTTCCGTGCACCTTGGTGTTTAGTCATGCCGGCCACATGACCACGGGAACGTCTTCAGACAGCGCTGGCTCTTCGGCTTTGAAACGGAGATGAGCACCGCAACCCTAGAGTTGGATTCGACTGGCTTTCGAGCAAGGGGAACCTTTACCTTTTACTAGAACTTGAGGGCACCCCATGAAGTTGATGGGCAATTGTCAGTACGTCTTCTTTACTCAATGGCTAATCATATGGTGGATTTTGCTGCCAGTGGATGTAGTATGAGCGTGGATACCTTTAAAAGGAAATTAGTCCATCAATGGCTACAAGCAATGCTCTCTCTAAGCTGTGGAGTCTTGTGAGCAAAAATTCTACTGTGTGAGCTACTGGCACTAAAGTTGTGAGCGAGCCATTTGGCTACTGCATCAGTTAGTTTCCTCTGGAGCCCTCCTTCCTGATCTAAGACAAAAAATTGTGAGCCAGAGGCTAAAAAACTGTGGGCTAGCTCACACTAACTCAGCTTAGAGGGAACACTGGTGATAAGCCATGATAACTAAAGGGAACCTTTGCATCCAGAGGCTGCAAAGCTCTGAATGCCTGTGGATACCCGACGTTGGGCGGAATCAAACCTGAATGTGCTACAAAGCTGCTTTGCGCAGATGGTAGTCCAGTTTGAAGGAGATGCCAGGCAAGTGCAAAGTCCCACAGGGCAGTGTTTATGCCTCGCTAGAGTCATGTGTAAATAAAACCAGAGTTAGCCAATGTAACCTGAAGGGACTGTAAGTAGCCAGGATGTGAACCCTGAATGGTCTCCTCTCTTTCTTTATAAGCAGCGTATCATTTGATCCTCTTTTGCGGACGCAGATAGGAGGATTCATTTTTATGCCCAGTCTTGGCTTTTGTGCTCACAGGTACCTTTGGTGAAATGGAGGAGGGAGACGAAGCGCCTCTGGAGGACAACAGCCACGTGGAGAGAGAGGGCGGTGCCTCGGACCACGAGGGCTCCGTGGACGGTGATTCGTCCAGTTCCCCTTGCAGTGAAGGTAAGTTTGGCTTCGTCAGCATGGAGCCACGAACGAAAAGGATCTGCTTTGCTTCCTAATGCCCGGCATCCTCACCTTGCAAATGTAAGAAGTTGCCATAGTTATTCTATAAGGAGGGAAAGGCAATTTGCCCGTGGCCAGGGGCACTCGTCTTGACTGCTATGCTTAGCCATTCCAGGGCTGCTCCATATAGCCGCTTTTTGGTCACGCGGCTGAATTTTCGAGATGTTTCGCGTGCAGTATCATTTCATGATTTGAACCAGAGTCGGCTGGTACTGTTCCACCCATATTGCATATGTGAACAGGAGGAGAGAGGGAAGAGGTTAGCCCAAGGCTTCCTAGCAAGTTCTGAACAGAAGTGAAATTCAAACCAGGGACTTGGTTTTATGGCTACCAGGTCTCTGCCCTTCCTGGCTCACATTCCAGTCAGCAATACTGACCAGTGTTCCCTCTAAGCTGAGTGAGTGTGAGCTAGCTCACAGTTTTTTAGCCCCTGGCTCACACATTTTTGCCTTAGCTCAAGAAGGCTGGCTCCAGGGCAAACTAATTTATGCAGTAGCCAAATCGCTTGCTCGGAACTTTAATGCCAGTAGCTCACAAAGCAGAATTTTTGCTCACAGGACTCCACAGCTTAGAGGGAGCGTTGATACTGACATACTTTCATTAGCAGTTTTTCAGGGCACAATGGCAAGAAATGCAGACACTGAATTTAGTTGCGGCATGGTTCAGTGACTCACATGCATATTCCCTTCGCTCCCGTGCTGTGAATATCCAACTGGCAGAAAAGCATTCTGTGTTTTGCTCCTAGCTTACTCTTTTGTTTAATACAACACATTAGCTGGTCCCAGACTCCCATATCCACTGAGGCCTGTGCCATCTTGCTCAGGAGCACCGAAATTGGTGGAACGTATTTTCATGGCAAGGACTGAACTGCAGAACTCGTACTTCCCGGAAACTCGCTTTTAAATTTCGTTTCATTGGCTGTCCTCAAGGTAGGAGTGTTTAGCCCATATGAGGTGGTGAGGGCTGCAGTTTCTCAAAGCCCCTCTGGATTGGAGGTCCCTAATATCCATCATTTGATAGTGTGCCTGGAAAGGGTCGGAATCTAGCTGGTGACCTGTGACTCTCTAATCTCTCTCCTCATCTGCACATATACAATACAGATCCACCAAAAGGCTTTTCTTCCCCGAAATGTAAACGAACATTCGGATAGTTTCGGAGCGTAACTGTGTCGGTCTGCGGTAGAAGAGCTGAGTTCGAGTCCGGTAGAACAGATTTTCAGGGTATGATCTTTCGCGAGTCAAAGCCCCCTTCGTCAGGTTCGTCAGGTATCTGATGTAGGGGGCGTTGACTCCCAGAAGCTTTATACTCCAAGAATCTTGTTGGTGGTTAAGGTGTCACTGGACTCGAACCAACCTGGTCATTCGGAGGTGATCCAGTTGGGTGTGTGTAGTGAGACTGTTTCGGGGAGGGGATAAGGGAAGCAGGTTAACGAAAAGGCCAACTGCTTGTTTGACAGCAGACTTTGACCCTTTGCTGCCCCCCCCCCGCCCGCAGGAGGGAAACAACAAGTCCCTTTATCTGATTTTGGAGCTTGCGGCAAAAGCCGTGGCCGGGGGGGGGGGCTGGTCTGGGGGGGGGTGAAGAGATTCAAAGGCTCCAGCTGAGTGCTGCACCTGGCACTGTGATAAAAAAGAGGCGATAGCGCCCGATAATGCTCCCGGCTGCAATAACTGCTGCTCCCGTGGCGAATGGCAAAAAGCTTTCAGCGCGATGGATAACAATCAATATGCCAGCCACTTTGATTTATAGCCAAAAATAATGGGACTTTTATCCCCGGCGATTGATTTATTTGATGTTAATCATCACCCCCCTCCCTTATCACCTGTATTAATAATCGCCAATGGCCGGTGACGTCACCCTGGGGGCGCCCTTTACGGCGCCCATCGATTGGGGGTGGTTTTTTTTTTTTTTTTGGGGGGGTTTATCGAGCTCGGATGCAAAAGGCAAACATGCACTTTGGGCGCTGATCTTTCACGCTGTCTTATGCAGATAGGCTTATCGGCAGCATCTCAAATGGCCCTTAATGGGGAAAATAATTGCCATCCAAGTTGCTATGAGGACGCCACAGGAAGAGCGGTTCCCAGGAACCCGGCTGGAGGGCTGCAAAAGGGGGAAATAGCTCAGCCTTCTGACTCACCAATCAGCAGTTGCCTGCTTCTGATGTCATAAGCCACAGCCTCTCTCGGTCCTACGTGTGCCCTGGGCGGCCACGTCTGTGCCACGCAAGCCCAGAGTTGGAGCATCCACTGCCTTTGCAAGTTTCTAACCCTCACTGGCTGAGACGATAAACTTGAAAATGCATGGCTGAAATCCAAGAAGCCACACTGCGGTTTGCTGCTCCCTGTCGCTACCAGAGGCTGAATAAATTATACAAATGCATAACATCTATAATTTGTCTCACACAGCCGGATTTTGTGAACTGTCTTGAGTCCCCTTGTGGAGAAAAACCATGGGACTCGAATTTCTAGAATAAATATTAAGAGTGTAAGAACATCAGATGTGCCTTTTTGATCAGAACAGTGACCCACCGAGTCCAGCGTCCTGTTTCACACAGTGCCTAACCAGTTGGCCTGGAGGGGCAACAAACAGGATCTAGAGCAGGGGAGTCGAACTCATTTGTTATGAGGGCTGGATCTGACATAAATGAGACCTTATTGGGCCGGGCCACGCGTGTCATAAAATGTAATGCCAGCTAGCGGAGATATAAACTTTATAGAGGACACAAACACAAAGGGTTTTGGGTTTTTTACTTAAAATAAAAACATACTTAAAACATCAGCACTCTTGCAATATTTTGTTTAATTACCGGGGCTGATCACCGACACTTCTTGCTCTGAATGATTGCATCAAAATGTCTGTGCTGTTGCAGTCTTGAGTGTGCTGTTCAGGTGTGTATCTGTAAGCTGCAAACCTACGATGACGCAGCAGCAGCAGAACTGGAAGAAGAAGCAGAAGACAGCCAGTTCCACTGCGGGGCAGATAGAAGCCCTTTGGGGGGGCCTGACCTGGCCCCCGGGCCGCATGTTTGACACTCTTGATCTAGAGGCCAGGGCCTTCCCTGATGTTGTTTCCTAGCAATGCCCCGGATGTGGCGGTTTCCCTCAGTCATCATGGCTAGTAGCTATTGGTGGACCTCTCCTTCAGGTGTCTGTTTAATCCCCTGTTAAAGCCAACCAAACTTGTGGCTATCGCTACATCTTTCAACAGTGAACTCCGCAATTTAATTATATGCTTGACTGAAGGAGTATTTTTTTTTGTCCGATCTGAGCCTGCTGTCCGTCAGCTTTATTGGGTGCCCTCGAGAGCTAGTATTATAGGTGGAGGAGGAGAAGTTCTCTCTGTCCCCTTCCTTCAGCCCATGCATAATTTTATCAATATCATGCCCCCCTCCTTCACTCATCTTTTTCCTGAACTGGAAAACCACAGTGCCTGCAGTCTTTCCTCATAGGAAAGGTGTTCTAACCCCTTACTCATCTTGGTTGCCCTCTCCCGCACTTTTTCCAGCTCTGCAGCCTCTTTTTTGAGACTCGGAAACCACAACTGTGCGTAATATTCCAAATGGAAGCTGAGCCATAGATCTATACAAGGGCATTACAGTATTGACATTTTTATTTCAACCTTTCCTAATAATCCCCAGCACAGAGTTTGCCTTTTTCCCCCACCACTGGCCACACACAGCGTTGACATTTTCATTGAGCTTCTTGCCACAGTCCCAGGTTCCCCTCTCGGTCTCTGCCAATTCAGACCTCATTAACCCATATTTAAAGTTAAGATTTTCTGCTCTCTCTCGTGCATCACCTAACACTTGCCTTCACTCACCTTCATTTGCCATGTTGTGGCCTACTCACCTCATCTGGAGAGAACTTCCTGGAGTTCTTCACAATCCTCTTCTGTTTTGGCTATCCTGAATAATTTGGTATCATCCTCAGACTGGGCCATTTACACTGCTCGCCCCTCAAATTCCAGATCATTTTTTGAACAGATCAAAATTGTTTATTGTAATTGGGTCATAGAATTTGGTACAGAATGTGAACTTCTGCTTTTAAACAATGTAAAGTTATCTGACCAAATTTTATTTTACATAACGTGTCTAAAGGAAGGAAGAAGCAGAAGACTTTGGAAGGGAGGGGGATGGGAGAGGGTGTGGTCAAGACCAAGGCGCCCCCCCCCCCGGTCTTGTGGTTCGGGCATAAATGTTGGGGTACCTATGGATGAGACTCTCCCAGGTTTGTTCCCATAGCAACAAAACTGTGGTTGATTTTGACATCTCTCCAAAGGATGTCTGTATTTCGGACAATATTTGTCGAGCACTACCTGTCAAGATATACAAGTCTTTCTTTCTCTGGATGCCACTTCCAACCTACAACAGCACCACTCCAGTCTAGCGCTGGGGTTAACTTATGAAGAACACACGAGGCTGACTGACGCTCAATCAGACCCTCGGTCCATCACAGTCAGTCTTGTCTCCCCAGACTGGCAGCTGCTGGCCAGGGTCTCAGGTGAAGGTCTTTCTCATCACCTCCTGCCTGGTCTTTTAAACTGGAGACGCCGAGGGTTGAACCTGGGACCTTCCACATGCCAAGCAGATGCTCTGCTGCTGAGCCACGGCCCGTCTCCTTAAACCTTGTTCTCACAAATATCTTTTGAGGTTGTAAATCTGTGTCTGGATTATACAACTTCCTATCAAAGGTAGGAAGGGACGAAGGGAGCTTTGACTTTTGAAAGTTTGCACACTGGAAATCTTGTTGGTTTCTAAGGTGCTACTGGGCTCAGATCTAACTTATCAAAGGCAGAGGCTCACGTGGGTGAATATTTTCTCCATCTAAACAAACTCCTTGCATACAGATAGCAGACATGTTGGGGAAAGCGTTCTAGTCTAGCCTTTTCCTCCTGAGATCCTAGTTTTCTAAATGCCAGGAGGAGGAACGTTCAGCCCTGTAAGTCTGGACAGAGGACCTGAAGGAGCATCACGTGATTAAGCCAGGGGGTCAGCTGATTGTCCCTGTGGACCCCAGCTGCCGTCTGTATCTTCTCCAAGGACTTTGGTGCCATTTTGCTCTTTCCATTTCAGAGGCAGAGCCCAAAGAGAATTCAGCCAGTCCGAAGGAGCCCGATAAGCAAGAAATTCCGGAGGAGCCGCAGGAGCCGAATCCGTGGAATGGGCCAGGTAAATTCTCTCTCCCACTTCCTGCGTCTGCCGTCTCCCTTTCTACCAGGCTCATCCAAACTCTCTTGGGTGGTAACCAGATTCCCCACTCGATGCTTGACCACCTTTCCACAGAAAAAAACCTAACGGAGTTCAGCAGGATGTTCAGTTGATGGGCCACACAGAACAGGTCTGTGTAGCCTCACCTTGGCAACACGGTGGTTCTGGGAACTTGGACCCTTGTGGTTGCTAAAAACAAGGGTGATCAGCCAGGGAAAGGGGGTTTTTTATTCAGTTGATTGACCCTTTTTAGCAGATTCTCCAGGAAGACAATGGCTTATTCTGAGGATAAATAAAGGTGGGATAGACGTGTTAGTCTGAAGCGACAGAACAAAGTTGGAGTCCAGTGGCACCTTTAAGACCAACAGAGTTTAATTCTGGGTATAAGCGTTCATGTGCATGATGCACGCACATGAAAGCTTGTAAAGGTAAAGATTTCCCTTGCTCAAAAGCCAGTCGAATCCGACTCTAGGGGGCAGTGCTCATCTCCGTTTCCAAGCCGCAGAGCCAGCGCTGTCCAAAGACTTCTCCGCGGTCATGCGGCCGGCATGACTAAATGCCGAGGCATACGGAACACTGTTGCCTTCCCACCAAAGCGGTACCTATTCATCTACTTGTGATTTCTTGCTTTCGAGCTGCTAGGTTGAAAGGAGCTGGGGCCAGAGACGGGAGCTCACTCCGTCATGCGGCACACTCGGGTCTCGAACTGCCAGAACGCCGGTCTGCAGCTCAGCGTCTTTTAACTTCTGAGCCACTGTGGCCCCTATGAAAGCTTATCCCCAGAATTAAACTTTGTTGGTCTTAAAGGAGCCGCTGGACTCCAGTTTTGTTCTTCTGAGAATGAGAGACAACCTATGATTTAACTGAAACAAAGGTTGCCTTTCGTTTTTTGGAAGAGGAAAGGCTATCTTCGATATTCAGTTGGCATCTCGGGTTGTCAGCTCCTGCTTGGGAAATTCCTGGAGATTTGAGGGTGGCATTTGTGGAGGGTGGGGTTGGGGGAACGAAGGGACCTCAGGAAAGTATAACACCATAAGAGTCCCGCTGCTATTGGAGCTGTTTTCTTCAAGGGATCTCTGTAGTCTGGAGGTCAGTTATAATTCCAGGATATCTCCAAGTCCCCACCTGGAGGTTGGCAACCCAGTTTGGTTCCCCAATGGCCTCCGAAAGCAAGCAGGCTCCAAAACACGGGGGGCATTGTGGCACGTGCAGATTGCAAAGCTTAGGAACATCTGTTTCTCCAGGGCAGGATGCTACTTGTAGCCTGTTTCTCGCACTGGACTTTCATCTCTATGCCAGTGAGGCACACGGTGAAACGTTGGGTGTGCCACCCTCCATCTGCTAACAGAAGAGCGTGTCATGAGCTGGCAAACAGTGGCGTGGTTACATCTGAGGGAGGGGGTGAGATGGGAAGATGTCTGAAATGAGCCTCTGGGACACCCTGCCATGAGAAGGTCAAGAGCTGAACGGCACAGCTGGACTTTGGGGGACTTTGGGGGAAGGCTCCTCTTCTTAATGATCGCTCTTTGTTTTGCTCACCAAGATCACTCTGAGAGCGGTCTGTATCTTCACGGTGGGAAGACATTTCTTCCCTCCATTCGTTGTAGAATGCTGCAGCCGCAAGCCGGTTTCTCTAAGCAAGCTGGTGCTGACGGGCCAAGAGTCCTTCCTGGCGTTGAGTCAGGCTGTAGGTTTCCATAGTTGCAAAGAAGCCCTGATAACATTCTGGCCTGCTTCTAGGTGATGTTATCATAACCTCCAAGAAATACCTATTTCTTTTCTATCGCGACCGTTCCCTTTTCTGGCACAAAGTGCCCCCCCACACACACACACACAGAGTGGGTGTTTATTCTGTCGTGGGGTTCTTGGCTGCTCTGTTTATGTATTTATTTTATTTATAATTTAAATGTATAGACCGCTTTCCCTGAAAATACAGGGCTCAGGGGAGTAACCAACACGGGAACAACACGGGAAGCCACACAGGAAGGACAGTGGAGAAAGAGGGCCCTGATGGTAACACAAGAGTGCTGCTGGATCCGAGCAGTCGGTTAGGTGTAGTGGTTAGGAGCGTGGACTGTAATCTGGGAGAACTGGGTTTGATCCCCACTTTTCCACATGCAGCTGCTGGTGTGACCCTGGGTCAGTCACAAGTTCTCTTGGAGCTGTTCAAGTTCTCTCAGTCCAAGCGTTTGACAACTTGGACTGAGCATGCAGCACTTTATAGTCGCCATTCTGAATAAGTTTTATTGAGTGTAAAGTATGTTTTTAATGTTTGTATTGATTGTTTTAGATGAGTTGTTTTATTGTATGTTGTTGTACGCCGCCCTGAGCCACTTCGGCGGGAGGGCGGGATAAAAATCAAATAAATAAATAAGGAGCAGTCCTCGAGAGCTCTCTTGGCCCCACCTACCTCACAGGGTGTCTGTTGTGGGGAGGGAAAGGGAAGGAAATTGTAAGCCGCTCTGAGACGCCTTTGAGTAGTGAAGGGTGGGGTATAAATCCAATCTCCTCCTCCTCCTCTTCTTCTTCCACCTTTACCCCATTATGGACCAGGAAGGCAGAAGCCTGATGCTGTGTTTTGATGTGGGCTATTGAGATCTTTGCTCAGCTGGGAAGTAGATCTTGGCCTTCTTACAGCAAAGAGGAGGAGAGACTGTTCTGCTGGGTCTTTAGACTCGTGGCGTTTCATTTTGATGAAATGAGATCATATTCTCATCAAAGACTGCGGAAGTGTGTCTGCTGGACCCGCACTCCCAGCAGCATTAGATAATTGTGTTTTGCACTTACAACAAGCCTGTGGGGTGGGTCGAGCTGAGAGAAATGACTGTTTGCCCCAGGTTACCTAGAGAGTTTCCTGCCTAAATGAGGATTTGAACCCAGACCTTCTGAGGCCAGGGTGTTCTGCACACAAAGCTGTTATTGCCATTCCAAGCTATTCAAAGGAACCTTAGGGACTGATGAGGATCCTCCAGATCTCTTTGCAGAGCAGTCCAGGGCATCAGCCTCCTGGCAGTTTATCTATAGCCTGGGCGGAGAGGAGTGGAGCCGGCGCACCCCTGCCCCCGCAGTGGCTTGTGAGTGTCTCCTCAAAGTGTTGGTCTGCTCCCCCACCCCCACCCCCGTGGCCAAATCCAGGAAGGGAAATGTGTTTCACAGGCTGATATCCCTCCCTGTCCCTTCCCGGATGCTTTGGCTGGAAATATCTGCCAGACGTCCCATCTCCTCCTTGGCTATCTCTGCTTCCCCACCCAGCCCTTTGCCCTCGATGGGCCAATGCGAGGTTTGCTCTGCTGCTAATCCTCTTTGGCCCCGGGCGAACCTTCAGCCCCAGATCCTGCCAGTGCAGCCACCAGACATGTCCAGACTGCTGTGCACATCTGGAAGGAACTTAGTGTGTCCTGCCGGGCTGTTTGAACACCTGGTGGCTTTTGCTTTTTTTAATGGGAGGTGTCACTGTCTGGTTTCTTTCCCCAGTATGTCAGGGGCAGGTTCTGTGGCCTCTGAAGTCAGATGAGCATCCTTACCCACGGGAGGCAACAAACGGCCTTAACTCCATAGCCTGAAAGTCGTGTTCTTCTTTTCTCTCTCTCATTACCTCCTTTTTAAAATAAAAAAATATCTTCCTTAATGAAGTATTCTGGAGAACCTGGAAGGTTGCGTGCCGGTTTTTGTCAATTTGCTTGGTATTAAATGGGGCTACCAGCAGCCTCTTTAGCAAACCGCGCTTTACCAAAAATAAAAAGTCACCTTGTGCCACTTTTTTTTTTAAAGACTAACAAGATTTTGGCCCTTTTCACATTGCCATTCTAAACTGGATGTTATTCGTTGTTGGCCCGGTTTTGAGTAAAGGATACAGGGACGGGGGGTTCATACAGTGAATTTCCTTCCATTAATGAGCCGTCTCTGAAGTGCTGTGGTCATTTCAAACAGTGCTTCCCCCACATACACACACATCCTTTTTCGCTGCACAATCTTCCTTAGACTTAAAAAATGTTCTATGCAGGGCTCTTTTTGTAGAAAAAGCCCAGCAGGAACTCATTAGCATAATAGGCCACACCCTGACAGCACCGCTTATTAGCACATTAGGCCACACCCCCATGTTACCAGAAGTGTGGTCATCCAGCCACACCCACCTTTCCCTTCTTATTCTGTTTACCTTGTTTGTTGTCCAAACCCAGGGCCTTTTTTTGTAGCAGGAACCCCTAATGTAGTCAATCCTAATGAGTCCCTGCTGTTGGGTGTGGCCTATTATGCTAATGAGTTCCTGCTGGGCGTGGCCAACTCAGGAGCCAGACGGAACTCCGTTCCTGTGCGTTCCTGCCCAAAAATAGCCCTGGTTCTATGGTGAGCACTGTAGCACTAAACCAGTATAGCAGTTTTGTGAAATCACGTGGCAAAAAGGGGCAGGGAGAAAAGCGGCATTGTAGGAAGTGCGATGGACATTTTAAACAGCACACCACAGTGATTTTCAGAGCTCAACAAAGGGGCGTTGGGGGGAAAAAAAGTTTCCCTCAAAAGCGGCTCAACCATGCTTTGGTAACCCAATGTAAGCGGGTTTGTATGAACAGGTAAATAAATTCCACTAGCAACCGGATATGAAAACGGGTTTGTCTGAAATGACAGGAAAAAAACCTTTTAGCAACCAGTTACCAAAACAGAATGCAAAGGCAGGTTGAAAAGTGTATTTATTTCAGCATCAGCTTTAGTTTGGGAGGGGCTGTGGCTCAGTGGCAGAGCATCTGCGTGGCACGCAGAAGGTCCCAGGTTCAATCCCCGGCATCTCCACTTAAAAAGGACCAGGCAGTAGGTGATGTGAAAGACCTCAGCCTGAGACCCTGGAGAGCCACTGCCAGTCTGAGGCCCTGGTCACATGGGCCAGATAACGTGGAAGGGAGGTGTGGCTTTTTGCGCCAGCGCAATTTAACGCGCCAGAACGCGATCAAATGCGGCAGCGGCAAATCGGGGTTTTGTTTGTCGGCGCGTGTTTCCGGCGCGTGCCAGCACGGCGAGAGGAGCGCGCTTGAGCGATCACACATAAGTATTCCGTCGACGGCCCGTAGCAAACCGTTTGCTAGTAGGCTTTCCCGGGTATTTTAAAACTCCGGATCCTCGGGCGGATGCTACGGGTCGGCGATGGGTGTGCTAACGCTTGCCAGATGTGTCCTTGAGATCGCGCCTGTATACTCCGCCCAACATTCGTGTTTCTCCCGCAGCAAATCCTCCGTGTGACCGAGGCCTGAGTAGACAATACTGACCTTGACGGACTGATGGCCGGATTCAGTACAAGGCGGCCTCGTGTGCTCATGGGCCTACTAGAGCCCACTAGTCCCTGAAAGTTCATGCCAGAATAAAGTCTTGGTACCTTCACTGCCAGCGGTGGCTCAAGTGGTTAAGACGCTGAACTGCAGGCTGTGGAAGGTCAGTAGTTCAGCAGTTCGAGACCCGAGTGTGCCGCATGACAGAGTGAGCTCCTGTCTCTAGCTCCAGCTCCTGCCAACCTAGCAATTCGAAAGCAATAAATTGTAAGTAGATAAATAGGTACCACTTCGGTGGGAAGGTAACAGTGTTCCGTGCGCCTTGGTGTTGAGTCATGCCGGCCACATGACCACGGAAACGTCTTCGTACAGTGCTGGCTCTTCGGCTTTGAAACGGAGATGAGCACCGCAACCCTAGAGTCGGACTCGACTGGCTTTCGAGCAAGGGAACCTTTACCTTTACCTGTCTTCAAGGTGCCACAAAATTCCTGTCTAGTCTTGCTGCAGCAGGCTAATACAGCTACCCTTCTGCAACGTGTGTTATACCAGACCCCCCCTCCACCCACGCCAGTCTGCACCCCTTTGCCTCGTCCACAGTAGCCAGTTTTTCCCATTGAGCAACAGATGGCAGCTTGAACAACGGTGCTGCTGAGTTCCAGGCACTCTGGTCCCTGCCATCTCTCTGCAGGGAGTTAGAGGATGTGGGGCTTGAACAGCTGGTGCCCCGTGTGTGGGCGAGATTGGAGGAGGAGGAGGAGATTGGATTCATACCCTGCCCTTCACTACCCAAAGGTATCTCAGAGCAGCTTACAGACTCCTTTCCCTTCCCCTCCCCACAACAGACACCCAGTGAGGTGGGTGGGGCCGAGAGAGCTCTGACAGAGATGGCTCTTTTTCAAGAACAGCTCTGACAGAACTATGGCTTGCCCAAGGTCATCCAGCAGCTGCGAGTGGAGGAGTGGGGAATCAAACCCGGTTCTCCCAGATTAGGAGGAGGAGGAGGAGGAGATTGCATTTATACCCCGCCCTTCACTACCCAAAGGAGTCTCAGAGCGGCTTGCAAACTCCTTTCCCTTCCCCTCCCCACCCTGGGAGGTGGGTGGGGCTGAGAGAACACTTGACAGAAATGGCCCTTTTTCAAGGGCAGCTGTGCCAGAGCTTGTGACTGACCCAAGGTCACATCAGCAGGTGCAAGTGGAGGAGTGGGGAATCAAACCCGGTTCTCCCAGATTAGAGTCCGTGCACTGAACCACTACACCAAACTGGCTCCGGAGTGTTGTTCAGATGGGATCCTCCTCTCTTGCACCTTTCCTGTGCCCCAGGAGCACGGATTTCTCCCACTCTGCTGCGAGCCAGAGAAGAAAGGGTCCCGGCATCAGCGCATCAGTTCCATTAGATGGGTTGTGCAGCGCCCCTGTTAGAACCACCTTGG